CCTCGACCCGGTACTCAATTCCGCGTCTGACATGGGCATTCCTCCACTTGGATACTCAAGCAGATTTGTTGTGATGAACTCTTTCGCGGGGATACCCCCTTCATATTAACGTCCCTTGCCGTTGGCAACCTTGAAGGTCCCTTTTTGGCATTTTGGACTTTTGAAGGGACCCCCTTGAGTTCCATAGAAGGTGAGAGGTGCAACCAATTGGGAATCCCCGGACCTTGTCATAAGGCGGGTGGTTGGCCTCTCGTAGTTGGAGGCTAAAAATGCACTTGATCCAGATGAGCTTGAGCTATATGTGGAATTTTTCTTGTTCCCGATGACACTTGAAATGGTTTTCCTTGGAGCCATGCGTCCAAAACGTTTGTCAATAACAAACTTGATGTGTTGACTTGAGAGATGAGAGGAAAGAGAGGTCCCACCGGGCATGCTAGAAATTTGTCGACACAAATTTCGTGCTAAATTTGGAGCACAAAAATTAATGCGGACAAATTTAAAGGAATTTAATTTCTTTTTGCAGAAATTTAAGTGGGATACAAAATCTCTTTTTCTTGGCAAAGAAAACCCTCCGATTCTCTTGTCTTGGACAAAATCTGAAACCTCGACCGAAACTTGCAATTATGAGAAGCAAGTAACGCCCAATCTTGTGTTAACGAAGATTTACTCACGCTCAATCAATGATTAGAACGTGAATAGCTGAAAGCAACGCCCTCGCTTGTAGAATTGATGGAAGTCTTTTGGATCATGGGAATTTGAAGATCGGAACTTCACGGGTTGATGTTGTAGCAATTTCGGTGCCTCGACAATTGAAGAGTTGGAGCCTTTCTTCTTTCTTCCTTGATCTTAGTGCAGCCCGCTTCTTCTCCTTTTTCAAAAGCAAAGGAAGCAGTCAGAAACGGACGAAAATGGTTGGAGACGAACGGAAGTGGTGGTTGAAAGGGGGAAGCCGAATGGGAGAAAAACCATCCGAACAAGAAGACCCCCCTCCCCCATCCCCTTTTATAATGAAAGAGCTTGCCTAATTCAGATTTGATTTGGAATCAAACATTTAATTTGGGGGACCCACAAGATTTTAATTTGTGATTTAACTTAAAGACTTGTTAAGAAAGGAATTGGATTTGCCCCCCTTCCATGTAAAGACACATGCCACTTGGCAAAAAGGGGTTAGTCCTATGCAACTCCTAATTTATTTGTCTAGACTTGACTTCCAAACTTGGTTGAATAATCAATCCCTCTTGTGATCAATTTGTGATTCCAATTAGAAGTTAATTAGGAAATGGGTTGGATTTGTCCCCCTTCTTATTTAAAGCCAAGTGCCGCTTGGCAAAGAGGAGTTGGATCCATGCATCCATGCATTTATTTGGCCAAATTTGACTTCCAAATTCGGCTGATCCATCAAGGATCCTCTTGTGTGAATTCCTTTATTAAATGGGATTTTGCATGTACCAATCTAAGATTTGGTAAATCTGTTCATTGAATGACAGATTTGGTCTTGGGATTTTTTTTTTCTTCTTTTTAAGCAATGCATTGAAAATTTGAGTTTCTGAGTCCATGTAATGTATCACTCATTTGGGCTAATGGGCCAATTCTTCTTAATGGCCCAGTAAATTCTAATTGGTTTGTCTCCCTCTTTTCTTTTTTTTTCTTTTTTTTTGTATCAACAAAAGTACTTATTAAAAAAGCCACTTGAGAGTTCATTTTTTTTAAGTACTTGTTAATAAGTGGACCTGCGGAATTTTTGGGACTAAAAAGTCCCTATTTATTTTTTTAAATACACAGGATGCCCCTGTCTCTCCTTAAACCCCCTTCTTCCTCACTCGAATAGGGGCGAACATACTAGCGGCGGCACCTTCCTTTGGAGTGATCGGTGACCCTCGAATGAGCTACAAACTCGCCGGCGACCAGGTCGGATTCACGTTTGGATTTGTTTTTGACAGGTTGTCGAAGCCCTCAAAATTADTACTAGTCCCACAATAAAATATTTGTAGTAAATGTGGTACTAGGTCGAATCCCACAGGGAGCTAAACAATAATCTCTTAGCCGAATGGATACTATAATTAAGTGGAGAATTTAATAACTAAAATTTAAAAGAATAAGAAAGCAATAACAAACTAAACAAGAGAAAATCAGTCTTACCGAATTCTGGTTCAAGGGTTCGGGTTGAATCGATTGGTCATCGATCATAGGTAAATTTCAGCATTCTTGCAATTCAAGCATTTAACCTTAGATTTATTAGGATAGYCATAATAAACCTTGTGTTTTCTTAATTCAGTTGACCAAACCCAGCATTCGATCAACACTTATCACCACTCAACTGGATACGATAGCGTCCATGTTAAACAGTGATAGTATTAAGATTTGTGAAAACAGTTAAACCAAAATAACAATAACTGAGATAGCTGCAACTACTGAATCTTGTTCCATCGATTCCTTTAGGTTGAACCATGTTAGAACATTGGTCAAAGGTTGTCACGAACAATTGACCCAAAAAGATATTAACCTAATTGCTACTTGTACCATTATTCGTGACAATTACGGATCACCGAAATCATGGATAGCAGTAGGAAAATCAACATTAATTCAGTTTGTCAAACTAATTAACATCAACATCCAATAAAAAT